CTAACTCAAATAATTTGAAAAAAAATCATGTCCATCATACTGACAGATGAATAAAACCGATGTTAATTTCATTTCAACACAAGGCAGCATGGCAGAGTCCATAGAAGGCAGGACTTGAATTCACATTCCTCCTCTGATGATTACTGACTATGTGACCTTGGGCATGCAGCCTCTAAAGCCTCAGCCAACTCTCTAAGACCATAAGATGCATTGTTATCGTAAATATTTTGTCTTTCTACTTCCATAGTACCTCTGTTAATTATTTCCTATTTACCCTATAAATAGACGGCTTTGTAAATATTTGTTTGCATGTTGTCTCCCCCATTAGATTGTGATCTCCTTGAGGGCAGAGGCTGTCTTTTTCCTCTTTTTGTATCCTCAGCACTTAACAAATGTTTATTGATTGATTATTTCCCATTTATCCGTATTTATAGATTGATATGTATGTATATATGTTTGCGCGCTATCTTCCTCATTAGACTGTGAGCTCCTTGAGGGCAGGAGCTGTCTTTCGCCTCTTTCTGTATCCTCAGCACTTAACATAGTTCCTGGCACATAGCAGGTACTTAACAAATGTTTATTGATCAATAGATTGATTGAATCCATCTCCTTTTCTCCGCTCACACAACCAGCCTCCTAGTTGGGGCTCTTATTCCCTCTAATCTAGACTATTGAAACAGCCTCTTAATTGGCTTCCCTGCCTTAATTCTTTTCCTTCCCTGATCCATCTCCCACAGAGCTGCCAAAGTGATTTTCCTAACGGACACGTCTGATCACAATCACGCCCTAGTCAATAAACTCCACTGGCACATTGTTGTCTCTGGGATCAAATATAATCTCCTCCTTTTGGCTTTTAAAGCCCTTTACAACCTAGCCCCAACCTACCTTTCCAGGCATATATACTATACTACTCCCCTTTCAGAATTCTCTGGTTAATCTAAACTGATCTCACTGTTTCTCAAACCCTGCTCTCCGTCTCTCATCTCTGTGACTTCTCATTGGCCATGTCTAATACCTAGAATGTATCCTTTCTTCATCCTGGCCTCTTAGAATTCCTATATATGTGTGTGCACATACATGCATGCACACACATATACATTCACATGTGCTTACATACATGTATACATATATACATATGCATACAGTATATATGTATGTACACACTCACAAGCAGCTAGGTGGTACAGTAGATAGGGTGCTGGACCTGGAGTCAGGAAGACCTGAGTTCAAAACAAGCATCAGATACTTCCTAACTGTGTGACCCTGGGCAAATTACTTAATCTCCATCTGCCTCAGTTTCTTCATCTGTAAAACAAGGCTAATAATAATACCTCCAAGAGTTGTTCTGAGCATCAAATGAGGAAATATTTGTAAAAGTGTTTTGCAAACCTTAAAATGCTATATAAATGCTATTATTAGACACAAAAATCTATTTTGTACACACACACATATATAAGTATATATGTGTGTGTGTGTGTGTATATACCTGTATGCATGTGTGCACACATATATACTTATAGATTGTCTCCATCAAAAGCATATAAGCTCACTGAGAACAGGGATTGATTCATTTTTGTCTGTATCCCAAGTCCCAAACAGAGAGGCTGGAACGTCATGGGTGCTAAATAAATTCTTATTGATGGATGAGATCACAGATTTAAAAGCCAAAGGGACTAATTTTCCAGATGAGGAAAGTCAGGCTCATAGAGGTTAAGTGACTTACACAAAATGACTCAGGTAATACATATATGAGCGTGAGTTTTCTGACTCCAGATACAGTGCTCTTTCCTCTGCTAGATGTGGTCATTTTTGCATTGGTGGAAATCTCAAGCCAGTATTTCATACAACCCAAATCACAAGTTTTTGATTGACTCTTGGCATACATTGGAGGTAGTGGAAAGATCACTGGACTTAGGTTCAAATCCTACCTCTGATATTCATTAGCTTTGTGCCCAAGGGGCACACCGAATCTCAGTTTCCTCATCTGGAAAAGGAAGATAATAGCAGTTGTATTATCGACTTTACAGAGTTGTTGTAAGGTTCAAATGAGATAATATATGTAAAAGAATTATGCTTATGTAAGATAGGTATGAGGCAGCTAGGTGGCACAGTGGATAGAGTGCAAGGCCTAAAGTCAGTTCAAATCTGGCCTCAGACACTTACTAGCTGTGTGACTTTGGGCAAGTCACTTAACCCTGTTTGTATCAGTTTCCTCATCTATAAAATGAGGTGGAGAAGAAAATGGCAAACCACTCCTGTATCTTTGCCAAGAAACCTCAAATGGGGTTATGAAGAGTCAAACACAACTGAAAAACAACTAAACAACAACAAAAAGAAAAGTATGTCATATACACATGAGTTGTCTAAATGTATAAACATGGCTTAAGAGTGACATGTGTAGGGGTCTCTAGGTGGTGCAGTGGATAAAGCACCGACCCTGAAGTCAGGAGGACCTGAGTTCAAATCTAGCCTCAGACCAAACACTTGACACTTACTAGCTGTGTGACTCTGGGTAAGTCACTTAACCCCAATTTCCTTTAAAAAAAAAATGAGTGACATGTGTAGATATTTCTGTAATCTAGGTTACCTCTCTTTAAGGTAGGCTGTGATTTTTGCCTTGCGGAGAATAGGACAAAGACTGTGATTAGACACTTTCTTATTCTCTCTCATCAGTATCTCTAAGAAAGGTAGAATTAACTCTACCCCTATAATTGAGGCTAGAATTAATTCTGTCTTCCACTCATCAAATATTGGTATATAGAGATTTAAGTCTGGTTCAAAATGAAATATGGTTCCCTGGTGACTCTTACAGGGGAGGGTAGCGCTTAGCTTACACTCACCAGTTTAGCTCCTTTCTGCCAAACACTGGTTACACAAAAGACCACCACATACAGTGTATAGCCACTAAAGCCAATTATCCCAGCAAAAGAGCAAATAGAAATCTCAGAAGTTATACAGACTAGGATGTACCAAAGAATATATAAGAGTAAATGAACTTTTTAGCTGCTAGTGAGATGAGATCTCTGCTCACATCAAGAAAAAGTCTAATTTCACCCAAAGAGAACTATTCTTGCCATGTCTAGGGAGTCAAGCTGGAGATTAGAAATATGCAGAGGAGCCAACTTTCCCCACATGTCTGCTGTTTTTCTCTCACCCTTGTCTCTCGAGAGATTATCTGTAACCACAGGCTCTCTCTGTCTCTATCTCTGTCTCTGTCTCTCTCTTTCTCCAACTTGGCAAGTCCCTTATGGTAGACAGTGTCCCCTCAACTTTCTCTCCACCAGCCTGGAGTCGGGTCTCTTTCTGTACATGCAGAACACCTCATCCTTGGTTAGAAGTTGGGTTTCATGTAGGTAAAGTACTTTGCAGATCTCAAAGAGCTCATGAATATCAGCTCTCATTTTTATCTATTTTTAAATTATTTTATCCTGTTTTACAAAGTTGCATCAGAAATTCATCTTCCCTTTCTCCACTGAAATATCAATTCTCTACTGTTCTTTTTAAGAAAATATTAAAATGTAATTATTTTAGAGGGAAAAAAATCACATTCCAACCACAGTTTGCAATTAATCCAAACTGGCAAGACACCAAAATTATCTTGTGAATTTTTGGCAAAATAAAGCAAGAACAATTGTGAGGTCCAACAAGTGATAAGAATCCTTATTTAGTGTTTCAGCATTTAATTTACCCACTTGTCTCTTCTCCTCATTCAAAGGACAAAAGAAAGCACTGGCAGAATGAAATCTTTTCCTATGCAACTTTTCTGTGTCATGGACTTCTGTGGCAATCTGGTGAAGCCTATGGACCTCTCTTCAAGAGAATGTTTTAAAATACATAAAATATGCATTTAAATAATAAAATAAAATAAAATTTTAATGCATATATAAAACAAAATACAAATTATTAAAAGGGAAAACAATTATATTAAAATATAGTTATAAAATCTTTTTTAAAAAAAGTTAACTGGCCTCAAGTTAAGAATCTCTGTGACTTATAGCATAATTAATAGATTTCATAGGATCCTAGAACCTCTGAGTTGGAAAAGACCTCAAAAATCACTTAGTCTAAAAGGAATATTCTCTGTAGCATTCCAAGTTCTGCTTGAAGACCTCCCATGAGTGGGAATTCACTACCTCTTAGAGCAGAGGATTTCTTTTATTTTTAAATATTTCTAATTGTTAGAAAAATCTTTCAAATGCTGAGCAGAAATATGCTTTTCCACAACTTCTACCCATTGAGGTAACCTTGAAATAATGGAGCATTTTAATACTATTCTACCTCTCACATAATTTCCTACATATATGTATGTATGTGTGTGTGTGGAGAAAGAGAGAAAGGGGGGGTAGAGGGGAGAGAGGGGAGAGAGAGGAAGAGACTAAGAGAGAGAGAGAAGAGAGAGAAGAGAGAGAGAGAGAAAATAAATATATGTATATATGACAAGAACTTAACTGGATGAAGTGCAGATTGGGTTGTAATGTGTTTCAGGGGAAGGGGAGCCCACATCCATTCGATCAGTAGTCCTTTGAAGTATTGAAATAATTACACACGTAGGAGCAATCAGTACCTGGTTTTAGAGAGAAATATTTAAAACAAATATATCATAATTCTAGTTGGGGTTTCTCCCCTTTCCTTTTTTCTCATATACTAAAAACCAAAAAGGAAATCAAGTGCTTTTTCAGTGAAGCATGATTCTGAAGATAGTGGTAAATAATTGGGGAGGAATTAATCTATTTTTCCAGTCCACAGACGTGGACATACATGCACACGCATATGCACATGCACACACTGCACTTCATTTGCACTGGCCATTGCCCATACCTAGAATGGACTCTCTACCAGGCTTGGCCTCTTGGAATCCCTCTTTCCTTTAAGATGCAGCTCAAGCAAACCTTCAGGTGCTAGTGACGACGATAAGGATGATGATGATGATGATGATGATGATGATGATGATGATGATGATGATGATGATGA